TATATAAATGATATTTTAATACATTATTAAAATAGTCTACAGTATTAAAATAGTGTTTAAATATTTTTATTAGAAAACGTATTAAATATTAATAAATAATGAATGCCTAAATATATAAATTATTCATTAATAGTTTTATTTAAGATCATCAATATTATAATGTTCAATACTAAATTGATACAAAAATATTTCTTAAAAATTTTATTTTGGTATTAGGACAATGTTTGAATGATAAAGAATTTATTACAATCAATCCAAGTCAAAAATTTCATAAAAATTAGATATTTTTTTTTATGTCATCACATTTTTTATTGAGTGACTCAAAATATAACCATCCTAAAATTATTTTGTATCTACATTATTAAAATAAATAATATTGATTTTATTTAATATTAATATTGATCATTTTTATCCCTCTTTATTTAAACTTTTACTTCAATTTAATATTTAACCTTATATTTTCAGGTTTATTTTAAATTATAATTAAATTTGAATAACTTATTCAAAGAAATCTTTTTAAATTGTTATTTTAATTTAATGAATTGTCATACTTTGGAGAAAATATTTAACAAGTTTTTTAAAATTATTTTCTATTGTGTTTACTAAATTCATGTTTCATTGTTTTTAAACCAATTTGATTATTTTAATCTTTTATATTTCAAATTATAAGAATACAACGGAATAATCAATATGAATAATTTTAATAATCGAATAAAAAATACAAATTAAAAAATCATAGATTTATAATTTGTGCCAATTTATAATGTTAAATGAAGAAGTATAAAAAATGATTTAATGAATTGAATTCTTCTAATTACATTATTTTCATAATATATGTGTAAAGAACAACCCTTATATAAATTATTATTGGGTCTAAAATAACATGACTTAAAAAAACAGTACTTCCTATAATGATTAACATTTATTAATTCTGATCCTCTTAGCATCCTTTTCTAAAATAAAAAATATGATTACATATATAATGATAAAAAAAAATAATATAAGAAATAAGATGGATAAGTAAAAAAAAAACTATTATCGCAACCTTAAAAATGCCTTAAAATCTATAAACTGCTTCACAAATCTTCAAAATTAATCTTAGTATAAGCAAAGTTAAGTAGTTTAAAATCAAAATGATTATTAAAGTTACAGTTTTAATAAAAAAAGTTTCAAAAAATGATAATGGAATTAAAATACTAAAAAAAATTGACATTTTTAAGAACTTATAGCTTTTTTTAATAATCTAGTCATCAGAATAGAATAGACTAGTAATTTCATGAATAAACTATTTTATATTAATTACTTTTACTTTAATTGATTATTAATAAATTTTTATGTTGTTTGAATAAAATTTAAACCATTTGTCGGTATTTTTTTTCAAAAGATTACTTTCACTGAAAGATGCTTCTGTCAAAATGTGTTATACATCAATTAATGGAAATTCTAATTTAATCAATTCAAAATATATGAAAAGCGAGAAGACTAGATAAATTCCATGAAATAAAAGAAAGGGCGAGCAATTATCCTTAATTTATTCATAAATTTTCTAAGTCTATTCAAATTCTTGTTCATTTCCTGATAAATTTTAGTACCTAGTTAAAAAAATAACACCAAGATAAGAACATTAACAAGAAATCTAAATAGATTAATTATGATTATTAGTTTCTTAAATTAATAAATTGCATTATTATATTGATCCATTGTTTTGGTATTAAACGCATTAAAAATTGAAGGCGGGTAGTTGTAACAATGCACCTTCACAATAAGGATATTAAATCATATCAACAGTATAATCGTTTTTTATTTAATCATAGTTAGTAATTACATTTTAATAAAGACAGTTTTACAATTTTGTTCTTGCGTAAGAGTTTTTCTCAATTTCAAAAAATGAATGATTTAATATATTTTTTAATTCAGAAAAATGATTTGAGGAGGTATTTAAATAATTGAAATATATGTCCAATTATTCTTTATAAATAAATGCAATCAAACCATCCATTAAATCTTTATCAATACCTTCTTAAATATTAAAGACATTTTTTGATATTTTGGCTTATTGAAATTTCAAAATTTACCCATTCAATATAAATGATTTACCATTAACTTACACTTAAGCACTTACATATGTTGATAAATAATCAATTAATTTAATTAATTTTTCGGATAAATCCAAAATTTAAACCTTATCTTCACTAGATTTAATAGACGTTTATGATATTTTTAAGAATAAATCATCAATTAATAAAATTACAGCTTCTAATGAGTTTGTTATTGATTCTTATAATTAATATTGCTATTCATCCATAAATATATCATTTTAATTGATTTGATTTTTTAAATTTGTTTGTTTCATAAGTAATTTTTAAGCTTAATTTTTTAATTTTGAAGCATCTTTTTGAAAATTATTAATATCTTTTAGGAAATATTTTTAAATCTCATTATTTTTAATATAAATTAATTTAGTCTTATTATCATAACAACTTCTTTATTCTATTTCATTTAATAATCTCTTAGGAGAGTTTTTATTCTTAATAATCTGACGTTTGTATATTTTTATTGTTTGTAGAGCTAAAAATTAATTATTTAAATCTTCTGAATCTAAAAAACTCTTTGTATTTTCAAGCAATTATTCTGATAGTCGAGCACAATCTGGTAAGGTATAATGATTAATTAAAACTTCTAATAATAATATAATTTATTGTTTATAATTAAAATTTCTGTATTAAAAATCAGAGCAATTAAATTAATTTTTTTCTGTTACATTTATATACTATTCTAAATATGCCATTGATCCTCTTGAATCCATAACTTAAATAAGAGCTAATACTTGACCTTAAGGTAAAAACAATTCAAGTGAATTAGATCTTTAATAGTTATTTAAAATCAGAGAGTAATCAGATAATTAATTTTTGAAATCCTTATAGTCTTAATCATATAGGAAGAATCTCAATTAATATGTGAATGGAGAATCATCTGATTAATCACAATTTACCACAATTTTATACGATTTTAAGGCTTAGATATTTAATGATACTAAATTAGCAGTGCAAAATGGAGGCTAATTTAGTGTTAATTATAAATCTGATTGGCTAGGTATTATATCATTAGTGAATTAAGCCAAAAATTTTAAATTAAATTAATTACCCATTTTGAATTATTGGTAATAATCAAACAATCTAAATTTATATTTAAAATATTAAGGTTCAAATATCTTAATCAATTCAAAATTATAAATAATAGCAATCTAATATTGCAACAAATTATATCTATTTTCAAAAGGAATATTAAAATCAAATTGCAATGTTTCATAATTATTTATTGGTCTTATTGTGTATCCTTTACTATACTAAACATCTAGGATTGGAAAATCATTATCTAAAAAAACAATGTTCATTTTAAATTAATATGATTTATCATATTTTGAGGCTTCAACAGTCCCTGCCTAAATTTTGTAGAATTGATTATAAATAGTATCGTTCATTTTTTTAGATTACTTTAATTTTTATTAAGATTTTTACTCTTTATTTAATCAAAAAGAATTAAGTTTGAATTACAAAAATATATTGAGACTTTGAAAAATAACCATAAAGAAAAATAATTTTTATTGAACATTTTAACTTACAAATATATTTTTCTGATTAAAACAATAATTCTAATATCTATCTATTTTAAATATCTATTAATTATTACCACAATACTATATGGTTTAACTGTCATTTTAAGTATGATTTAACTTGTATCTGTTTTATTTACTTATATCATCTTATTGTTAGCATCTTTGCAAATACTATTCATTGTTAAATCAGCACAGCTTACTTCTATTTTAATTTTTTGATCATCATTCCATTCAAACAAAGTATCAAGATCTCTGCATTAAATATTAATAATTGAATCTTTTCTATAATTTTAAATCTTATTTGTTCCATTAAATTAACATAATAAACCACCTTATTAAATTTCAATGGTTACATTTTGATAAGTTGAAAAATTTATTGAAGGTTCTAATGTTACCATTTAAAAAGTATATAAATACCATCCTAAAAGTAAATGAGTATCAAGATTCCCATATAATACGTAGCCTTATATTTATGGATTGCACATGATTTCTTTTTCACCAATTATAACCTATCTAAGTTCTGTTGTTCCACCACATTCTCTTGGAACACCTTAAAATTGTGTAAATATATAACCTGCACACATATGAGGATGAATACCTGGCCAGTATTAATGAGAACTAGGACAAGACCTTTAAAAAATTTCTTTGTTAAATTAAGTTTAAAAGGATCGAAAACATAAACACATTTAAAACATCCATGTGATGATTTGTCCTTGGATGAAGGTCATTATCTTATACCAATTTATATGTTTTTATTATTGATTTTTTTTTTTATAAAATGTAATTATTTAATAATTTATATCTTTATTGCATTTTGATTTAGCTAATAGTCAAATGAGATTACAGATTAAGAAAATTTGTAGTATTTTTAATGATTTTTCTGGTTTTGAGAATGAAGGTATTTTTTGGAAATACAATGTTCTTAATTTCTTAAAAAATAATTATAATTAATAAAAATTAGTTTAATAGAAGGAGAAAAACAAATAAAGAAAATTAAAACTAAAAATTCATTATTTTTTTTTTCTCAATATTAAATCTAAATATCATATTTTAATAATACTGACCAATATAGTTTTTTATTTCAAGAAACTATTTGAAGTTTAAATTCCAATAAGTTATGCTAAATTTCATACAGAAATGAAGATCACTTTAAAATATTCTATATTAAAGATCCTTTGCTTATTGACTACTTTTATTATTGTTAGAATAATTTTAATTTTTCATTCTGGCTTTTAATACTAAAGAGATATTTATGTTTTTTTCATTTCTTCTTTATTAGATTTGATTTGAATTTTTAAACAAAATTTTAGACTAGTATTTATTTCTTACAACCAAAAATTTACCTATAATTAAATTAAAAAATTGAGATTAAAATTAATTACTATTACAAAATTTTTTTAAAGAAATATTTTCTTTCCACCCCCCATCCCCCCTCAGCTCAGCTACCTTACAACAAATACGCTGGACAAGAAAAAAAGAATAATTATACCAGTCCTTCCTCTGCCAGTTTGTGGCAAGTAGGTAGGGAAGTTAGATAGTTAAGAGTGAGGGAGAAAGGGCACAACAGGACACTATTTGTGTTTATACCCCCACCCACAGCCCATCTATATGGAAGGTAGAGTATATAGGTCTCTAGTTAAACTCTATCCTTCGCTTTTGGGTATCATGAGTACTCTGGAAAAATGGTGAGTCGTCAGCTTAACATGACGTCATAGTGAAACCAGGTCATGGGGATATATAGATTGCTTATGGTGAATTCCGATCCCCTAGAGACTGAGTATGGCATGCCTCAATGGTTAATGGGGGATTTCCATGTCCTTCGACGATTCCAGTGATGGTTTCCTCTAGAGATGAAGAATAACTTATATATCTTATATATATATTACTATTACCAATCTCTTACTGTATTAAGAACAAACCTTTTATTAGGAGTTAAGAATGACGAGCAATACCTCCTATACATTCATATGAATTTTAAAAAATAAACATTTATCTAATCTTGGTTTTTCTTAACAAGCTAAAATTCTAAAATTCACTTGAAAGAATATTAAATTTCTCTTTATATGATAGCTTATTCAACATTCTAAGTATTTATACGAAAAAATAAAACAATCAAAAATAAACTTGAATTGATAAAATTCAATCAACTTTGCTTTATAATATTGTTTCCTTTATTTTATTTTAAGATTAGAAAAAGATTCATCAATTTTGCCAAAAATAAAAGATATCGGCTTTTATATATGAATCATTCAATTAAGTTGACCGATTTAGGTAACAAGTAAAAATTTTCCTCCTTTTTATAAAATTTTGTCTAAAAAGATAGACTTCGATACATGATAAGTATAATTGAAAAAAAATTAAATGCCAAGAATCAGAAAAACATACATAAAGATGAGAACAAAGGAGAAAAAGAAGAAGAAAAGGTTGCATCAGATTAAAAAAACATAAAAATGAAATAAAAAAGAGTGAAATATGCAACAGGGAAAGCTTACCAATTTGAAATCTGCCATTTATCTAATTTTCATAAATAAGGACGGAATTGGTAATTCAAAGAGCTATTTCTCATCAAGATGAGCTAAGACAAAAATGATTAGAGGGGAGATGTCAATTTTTTAATTTCATCAGATATTTCTTATAAATAAATATAAGGTTTCTAAATATAAGAGGTATTTGTTTTTTCATGAATTTGATCTTGAATAAGAATCATTTCCGCTGTTGATTAACTTGTTTCTTAGAAGTAAAAATCAAAACAAATAGGAAGATGAATTTATAAAAAATATTTTATCTAAGATAAACAAATATGATGGGTTAAAGATCCCATTAGACTTTATTGATTGTTTATTAACAAAAATTAAAAAAAAAATTTAATAACTTCAAGAATTATATTTTGGATTAAGAAAAAAAAATTTGATTTGTCATAAGAAAATTAAAACCTATGTGTGATTTATATAATAATTATTTTTTAGTTCTATATTTCAAAATCTGACAGAATAAATAATAAAATGACGAAAAATTAATTTACAATTTCTTAAATGAAAAATTATGTCATCATGCGGGCAAAGAATCACCCAAGAAGAACTTCTCAGAACAGGAGTAAGAGCAATAATAAACGGAAATCCCTCTTACAGATCGTTATGATAGGGACAGAACCATATTATAGTCAAGGCTGGGTTAGAAGGAGATGAAATATGTTTATCTTATTTTTTTGATACTAGGTAGAAGTAAAAAAAAGAGAGGGAAAAAATAGAGGTGAAGGATAAAATGTACATAAAATTTTACTGGCGTAATCAGTTGCCTGGATTGACACAGAGTAATAAACACACCTAGATTATGGAGATGAAATAAAGAAATTCGGACTGATGTATAAGATAACTGATGCTTTCTTCAAGGACTTCGATATGAAAATATATGAACAAGTAAACCAAAGGAGAAGAAGTTTTATATGAATTTAGTAGTATGGAAGATAAGAAAACCATGGCATCATTAAATAAATATAAATTATGAACTGACAACCAGAGCAAAGAAGATTTAAAATAAATGCTAAAAAGTAAAGTAAAAAAAGATCTACATTTTGAAATAAATGCTGATTGAGAACTTTTTAAACTAAATTATCTGATGGACACTGAATTTTTTCCATTTAAGGTGTATTGAGCAAAAAGATTAATCAAAAATTATAATATTTTGTTCTTATTAGGTTAATCATAGCTAATTAGGCCAACAAAATTAAAAATTAACAAAATTTTCAATTATGATTTTATAAAAAAAAATTATTTTATTTTTTGTGTAACAAGTTTCTCAAAAATTATTAAGACAATCTTATTCTTCATAAATTGAGTAGATCTAGCTAATTTATTTTATTCGAAAGGATTTTTTGATTTTTACTAAATTCAAAGTTGATAAGTTTTATTTTGCAAGCTTCATTATTTTCATGAGTAAATAATCTCATATTCTCATATTCTCAAAATTAAATGATATTATGAATAATAAAATAAATAATAAAAAACATAATTTAATAATTAATAACAAATATAATTTAATTATTAAAAAAAAACTAAAAATCATAGGACAAAAATTTGTGCCAATTTATAATGTTAAATGAAAAAGAAAAGAAATTGACTATATGGATTGAATTCTTCTTCTTTCATTATTTTCATCATAGATGTATACAGAACAACTCTTAAATAAATTATTATTGGGTCAAAAATAACATAATTTAAGAAGAAAGTGCATCCAATAATTATGAGCATCTATTAATTTTAGTCTTGATTGCATACTTTTCTAAAATAATAATATTGATTACCTATTTTGTTATTTAAAAAAAATAATGTAAGAGAAAAGGTGGATAAGAAAATAAAAAATAATTATTGCAACCTTATAAGTGCCTTAAAATCTATAAACAGCTTCGCATACCTTCTAAATCAATCTTAGGAAAAGCAAAATTGAGTAATTCAAAATCAAAATGGTAATCAAGGATACAGTTTGTATAAAAAAAGTTTAAAAAAATGATAATGGAATTAAGATACTTAAAAAATTTGACATTTTTAAGAACTTATAGCTTTTTTTAATAATCTAGTCATCACAATAGAATATACAAATAATTTCATGAATAAACTATTTAATTTAAATTACTTTTACTTTAATGGAGAATTAATAAACTTTTAGATTGTTTGGATAAAATTTAAGCCAATTACTGCTATTTTTTTTTAAATGAATACTGGTACTGGATGATGATTCAGTAAAAACATGCGATATTATTATTTTTGGAGATTCCAATTTAATCAATTCAAAATATATGAAAAGCGAAAAGACTAAATAAATTCCATGAAATAATAGAAATGGTGAATAAGTTAAAGTACAATCAACATCATTTTATTCATTAATTTTCTAAATTTATTGAACTTCTAATTCTTTTTCTGATGAATCTTAGTATCTAGTTAAAAATATAACTCCAAGTTGAGAACATTAACAAGAAATTTAAATAGATTAATTATTACTGTTAGCTTCTTAAATCAACAAGTTGCACTATTCAATTGATCCGTTGTTTTTGTATTAAACACATTAGTAATTAAACACAGGCAATTTCAACAATTTATCTACACAATAAGGATATTAAATCATATCAATAATATAATCATTTTTAAATGTTTCCAAAATAATATATTAATTTTTGTATAGATAGTTTGATAATTTAGTTCTTATATATAGGTTTTTCTCAATTTCCAATTAAGATTAATTTAAAAATTTCCTTAATTCTGATAAATGATTCTAGGAGGCATTGAAATAATTGAAATATATATTCAATTATTCTTTTTAAATAAATGCAATTAAACCATCCATTAAATCTTTATCAATACCAACTTAAAGATTAAAGACATTTTTGGTTATTTTGGCTAATTGTAGTTACAAAATCGAGCCATTTAATGTATATGATTAACCATTAACTTAAACTTAACCACTCACATATGTTGTAATATAATCAATTAAATCAATTAATTTTTCAGATAAATCAAAGATTTATATCTTATCTTCATTAGATTTAAGAGATGTTGATGAAATTTTTAAGAATAAATCATCAACTAATAAAATTACAGCTTCTAATGAGTTTGCAATTGATTCTTATGACTGAAATTATTGTTCATCAATGAATATATCATTTTAATTAATTTAATTTTCTAAACTTGCTTGTTTCATAAATAATTTTTTAGCATAATTTTATAATTTCGCAGCA